GTTGAGTGCCGACCCAGGGTGACCCCCAAGCGCTGACCCGAGGCCAACCCCCAATTCCTGGGTGCCGGCAACCTGTCGGCGTCAGCTGTGTGCATGCCGATTAAGAAAGATCGGGGCCCCCAAGGGACCGACTGGTAGCCAGAGGGGACTGGCACCCAAATGTAAGTGCCGGTCCCTGCCACCCCCGATGCCGATACAGGCATGCCGTGGGCCTCTGGGGCTTTGGTTGGCAGAACGAGCGGGCCTGCTAGTTAGGGATGAGACGATACATTGTATACATACTATATAAGGCAGGTCCGCTGGAGACCGCGCGGTGCGGTTGAGACGATACAATGTATAGGCCCGCTATATCGTATGAGACCATATGCCGTAGCTGAGGTATGTGGAAGTGGTGTGTAATAGCTGCTGGAAGGGGAACGCAGTTGGGACAGCAGTAGCTTTTTTGATTAATATTGAAGACGTATGTGTGTTCCCAGTTCGAACTGGGTGGCATAGGGCGAAAAGTGAAATCCCTCATCACATACGAGACGCTAGAAGAGTCTCAATCAGGTGCGCTTGCTGCCATAAAATCGTAGAAGAGCTCATGAGTTCTGAAGTAGATGTTCCCATCGTTCGTTATAAAGGGGAGACACAGGTGGCTGTCCCACCAGAAGAGCCCTCCTGTGGAAAGGTCGCGGAATATGTGCAACGTTGAGTGCATCTCTGCCCAGAGCAGAGGGATATTGGGGATGGGCAATGCTCGTTTCGCAATGTATTTATACGCACTGCCGATCCATTGCCCAAGACACGCTCCAGAGAAGTCAACCCTCTTTCAGTACGACAGAGTTAAAAAAACTTGAAAACTACCGGGCAGCATCGGGTTCAATTGGTCCTTTGTCTGTACACGGCAACGAAGCGAGGATCCACATTCGACGATGTTGATGAGTGTTCGTGCGATCGGTTCATGTGGTTAGGGATTGTCACGGGTAACCCTGGGGTATTCCAGGGCTACCCGTACCCTTACCCCAGCAAACCCGCACCCGCCTCGACGGGTAGGGGTTTCCGCGGGTCAGGGTAGGGGTTTCGAGAGGGCCTGCAGGTTTTTGAACCCGCGTGGCGGGTATAACATTGGCAGGGGCCTTTTGCATCGCAGAAACAACACACACCGTCAAATGACGTGGTGTCACACTCTGCGATGGTAGGGCCCTTCGTCGTGTTTGTGCCCTTCGTCATGCCGTCGGTGCTTGTCGTGGTTCCCATACCCATGGGCCATCGTCGTACTTGTCATCGTGCCGTACTTGTCATCGTGCCGTGCTCGTCAATGTGCCGGTGACCGTCATCGTGCAGCGCCCTTCGTCATGCTGTCGGTGCTCACCATCATTCCCGTGCCCGTCGTCGTGCTCGTCGTCGTGCCGTGCTCGTCGAGTCGTCGACGTGCCCATGCTCGACCTCACCGCCTGCTCGTGAATGCTCGACCTCATCGTCGCCTGTTCACCTATCGAGTTTCTGGCTAAGTGACGTACCTACCATTTGCAAGAGCCGGCCACATCCTACTGGAAAGGAGGGGCACACGGCGAAATCGTTGATGTCATGGCACATAGGCAAAGCACTAGGGTGGATATGCAAGCCCAAATAAGCACCAAAATAGAATAGAAATGTATTTACCTACCTTTCTTCACCAAGAAAGGGCTGCGAGGGATGCGGGGAGAACGAAGGAAACGGTCAAAAGTGAACAGAAACAAGATCAACGATGACGCGGCCATAAATTGTGGCTGTGTCGGCAAGTTCCGAGACGGGCCGCTAAACCCGCCAACCCGGCTCACGGGTGCGGGTTCGACGAGGGTACAGGTTTGCCAACCCGTACCCTTACCCTGCTGACCCTACCCGTCAACCCGTGACAATCCCTACATGTGGTTTAGGGACTCGAAACCCTATTGGTGAGTGGCAAAATGCCGGAGGGAGTGGCAATCATCTCGAGTTCAGCAGAAGATGATGATATTCAGGAGGAAATGGCGACGCTTTACAGAGCGACGCTCCGGTGACAGCCTGAAGGGAATATCTTGCTTTGTGGCAGGTCTATTACAGCGTACAATGAGTAAGGATTCCACTTTGATCTTCAGATCTCCCCTCTGCTCCCCTTCACATGTTTCTGGATCTTCACTTTTTGCGGGAACAGCCACTTGGTAACCAAGCTCTTGGCCGGCGCTAATGTGATGATGTGAAATATCAAAGTGGTGATTGATAGGGATGCTGATCGGGGTTGGGGAAGAGATTCGTTGATCCGTTGCGACATGGAACAATATGCCAGTTCAAATTCATCCGCCGGGGTTACAAAAATGTAGGCGAATATGCTTCCATGTGAACATCTCAGTAAACGTCCGTAAGATAGCATACGGAAGATACCATGAGGCTGGGCAACGTTCCACATCGGCTAATTGCTGCTTAGGGGCGACTGGCCGAGACACGCGAGGGCTTCGTGGGCCATGACCCAATCAAAATAAGATAAAAAGCTGCAAAGCGGGAACGTGAGAATGAGGGACACCTTAGATCGGACAAGGTAAGATCGCATACTCAACAACAAATCACAAGCCAACACCTTTACGAGACAATGAAAACTGTTATTGATTACAAGATTAGAGAACGATTCAACCTAATGAGACTTTAGCCCTAGCTGTTCACGTATCTCACACCGAAAGCTGTTTGAAAGCTTCAATCCACGACGTATCTCCGGTGACCTTGACCTCCCACTCGGCCTCGAGGTTGATCTTCGCCCCGGCCCCGACTTTCCACCTCCACTCGAACTTCCCTTCCTTTTCGCCGCCCTTCCCATCAATGACCTTCTCCCAGGCAACGCGCAGGCCTTCGTTTCCGATGTGGAATACTTCGCCGTCCCGTGCGTCGGCGAGACCAGCGGGCTTGCGCAGGACGACCTTCGCGCGAGTGTCCTCCAAGACAGGGAGGCCCTCCCGGACGATGAGATCCGTGAGCGGGAACGGATGCTTGTTGTGCACGGATATCTTGGTAGTGTAAGTTGTTGTGTTCGACGTCTCGGCGAAGGCGCCCCCTGTGGACTTCACGGCCTTGCCAGCGGTGTGCGCGTAGGTGACCTTTGTGGACGTGTCGTCTCCTAGGGTGCATTCAAAGTTGTCGCCCGTGCCAATATCCTGGTTTACCTTTGAGTGAGTATCATGTTAAAGCGTTGAAACTAAGACTACTTACGTTGATTGATGTCTTTGAGACATAGCTGTCGTCGAAAATGACGGTGACGACCCCAGCAAGCAGTCGATATTCGCTGCTATTTTTAACTTCGCACTAAAATGGACGAGCATTAAGAAACTAAATTGGATACGAAGTAACGTTTGGACTTGCCTGCAAGAAGACTCTGGGGTCCATCCGAGGGACCGTAATGTACGAAATCTTCGCCTCGAAGGGCAGCAGCGCCACGGACACCTGGTGATCGACGCCATCGCTCGGGATTGTCGTCTCCCCATGAACAGAGAACGAGATCGCCATCGGCGTCTCTGAAACGATGGTCGTGGGCTCTGTGATAGCGCCTGGCGTCGGTACTGCCTCGAAATCATCGTCCTCCTCGGGCAAGGGTATCGCCTCCGCCGCCGCTAGCTCTGCCTCGTAAGCAGCCGACGGCGCTTGAGGTGTAGCGCTTGCGGCACCGAATAGCTGTGGTCGCTGCCCGGCACCAGAGGGTGGAATCTGCGTCCCCTGGCCTCCACCACCGAACGCACCGGAAGACATCTGTTCTGGCTGAGGTTGTCCAAAGATGGAAGAAAACGGCTGGGAACTTTGAGTTGTCCCAGCAGCACCGAAGGCGCTGAATGTTGTCGGCTGCGCTGGAGCTGAACCAAAGAGGCCGGATCCCGTCTGTTGCTGCTGCTGCTGCTGCACGAGAGCGCCAAAGCCCTGCTGAACGACTTTACTACCGAAGGGAATAACACTCGCGCCAAATCTCGGAGCCGACTGCGCGGCGGCGCCGTTGGCGCCGAAGAGTCCTCCAGAAGCCATTACATTATTGGCTTTCATTGGAAGTCCGAAGGCTGGTGCTTGGCTGAAGTGGGTGTACGGCGCCTTCGGGCGCATGGTGATAGTCCTCAGCTGGGGGATGCGTCTCACTATGGTGTCGGAGGCGATAGTACTCAAGGTGAGTGCGGCGTTGGTCCAATCTTCACCAGTGCTCTGCATGACCCTGGCCCGGTAATGGAGGGTAACACAGGAGGACGGTTTTCCGTTCTCCGTGCTGGCATGAAGTTCGTAGATTGGCTTCCACTGTGCCCCACTCACGACTAGGAAGTGATTTATGTGAGACGAGGAATAAAAGCTGAAGCGCTGAAGGACTGAATGGCGACTTACTGTAGGTCAACTTGAGTTCGATGGTGGTATCCTCGTCAGCGGTGATGACGATATCGACTTGACCGTGAGCGGTTCCTTGCTTCGAAGAGGTTTTATGCTGCTCAGCCTCTATCTGGCGGTTGATTTCGACGATTTTCTCGTTTAGTTCCGTGCGCTGTAAATCCGCTCAAAGCTCAATGACGGTGGCTCTCACAAGCATGGTCTGTGTACTCACAGCATTCAGATTATTGCGCTCCATTTCAACATAACTTTCCAAGAACTGACCCATCTGAGTGGGGGTGACGTGCTCGCCGCTCAAGGTCTGTGCGTACTTTAGGAGCAACTGAGACTCCTGCTCTCTGGTAGCCCTCTCACTCTCAAGTGCAAGCTTCTTCGCTATTAGAGTACGAATGATCTCAGACGAGCTATCAGAGGCATACGACGCAGCCTTGCTGCCTCCCACGGTACAAACGACATCGAACAGCCTCGCCTCCCCCAACCCAGAGACTCGAACAGAGTGGGTGTCGATGGTGCTCGGAAGCCCTCGTATCTGCACTTTATTCTGCCCCTTCTGTTGCGCCATATAGAAGCTTCGTACCGAAGGTATGGAAAATACAGGAAATTGAACTTACGGAGAAGTTAAGGCTGAAGGTACGTACGACCTCTGCCTTCGACGACTTGAACACTGTTACTGACTTGATGGGATGCGCGGCTGCTTGAACGGTGATGACTGAGGCCATGGTGGTAGGTAGTCAAGGGAGATGGGTTCTCGAATGTGAATCAAACGTATTTATACGTTTGGATGTCGGGTTGTGGCGGTACCGAGGGTCGTGCTTCCAGATGACTAGAAACAGCCGCTTTATGGGCGCTTGTTGACAGATGAGTCTGATGAATAGGCCTGGATAAGTAGAGAGGTGCAAATGCGACTTACGCGGCTGAAGAACTTTGGTTCGTGCAGGTGTGAACGTCCCTTCCTCCCGTTTGTGTGATCCAACGTTTGAGATTGTTGAACACCGCCATTGACTTGCACCGCCGTTGCTTAGAGACCTTTCGGCATCTGCCGAAATAATTCGGTCTCCGACTTGCGGGACCGGGCCGGCTACAGGGCTCTGTTCTCTTGCGCTCTTAACCGCAATGCCTATGGTTTAGCTTTTTTCGCTCGAAAAACCTCAAGATGGTCCGCTTTAAGGTGAGAAATTCTTTCTGTGCCCAATTTTTGCTGAAAGCTGAACTTCGGAAGTGGCTAGAACCGTTGGATTCTCGTTGAATTCATACCGGTTGTTCAGGGAATCGCACAGCTTGGAAAGCTGCCCACAGGAAATGGAACAAAACTCGACGGGAAGATAATATGGAGTGCGTTGAAGCAGAGTGTGCTGGCTAACTTTGGAGACACTGGTTGGGGAGCTGTTGGACTTTCTCTGACCGGTGTGTTGTGGGCTTTTCTCATGGAACCAATAACTGATAGCATTCACAGTCAAGTATTTCTCGCCAACGACGAACATTTGCATCATACGCGTCGCGCGGGACCAGCATAACATAGCTTGGGGAGCCTTGACGCTGATAACAAGCATCGACGGAGCGAGGTTTATCCCAAACGTGATTCATGTGTCCGGTGGGTCGATTTTCTGGATTCCTCCACCTGGACGATCTAACAGAGGGTTAGGTACCATAAAACATGCTCAGTTAGCGGCTATTACACACAACCGGGAGGTCATTGCACGATATCGGGCACTGGCAAAAACACCTGGTATGTGCTGCTACTTTCCTCCGGCGTTCTTGAAGCCTTAACGCTCCTGGTCCCAGTGGGATACCACGATGTCTATGAGAGCTTTTTGGATACAAGTACCCGTGAGATCGAGGCTTTGCAAGATTGAGTCGGTTCAATTGGATGCTGGAATCTCTTCTTGCTCGTCCGTGTACATCATCCTCTGACGTTCTGCCTCGATTCATTATGTACATTCAACGGACTTTTTGTAAAATTTCACATTGTTCTTGCAATTTTGTGTTGTAACGCCTTTGAACTTTCGGTTATGGCCGAAAATCGCCGACCTCTCTTTCCTTCAAACCACATCCTCGAATTCCATAAAGTCCGTTCTACATCCGTTCCATCTACGACTCTGCCTGCTCTGATGCTTATAAAGACTTTATTTACGTGTTCCTGCAATCCATACGAGCAGAGAAGAGCACCTGGTGGCGTTTAACTCGGGTCGCTTCGGATACTGCCGTAGGATCCGTCGACTCGAACTTTACGGACCTTCACATCGACCACCACAACGAGCGACGATGGCTGGCATAAAGGCACACCGTTCAGCCCTTGAAAAAAGCCTTGAAGCCGCGCTTGAATCGCGAGAAAAACGCTGGATCCGGCGGCGACTCCCAGATCCGAACATATCCTCCTCCAACTCACCTCTCGTCGACTTCAGTTCAAACGACTACCTCTCGCTCTCAAACTCCCCCACTCTCCGAACTCATTTCCTTCAACGTCTCTCTGCGGCTCCGGATGTCCTTGGTTCAGGGGGATCGCGTCTGCTCGTGAACGGTCGTGCACACGCCGCACTCGAGGCCCGGCTTGCGGACTTCTTCAAATCAGAGACAGCGTTGCTCTTCAACTCGGGGTTCGACGCGAACGTGGGGTTCTTCTCGTGTATTCCCCAGCCGGGCGACGTGGTCGTGTACGATGAGTACATCCACGCGTCGGTGCACGACGGGATCAGGGCCTCTCGTGCACGCGACGCGCAGTTCGCCTTCAGCCACAACTCCGTGTTGGATCTTCGGAGGGTGCTGATGAGGTTAAAGGAGGAGAGAAAGGGGCTGGCAATGGGCGAGAACAGCCTGTTTCTGGCCGTGGAGAGCTTGTACAGCATGGATGGGACGTTTGCGCCGTTAGCGGAGATTGTGGATCTGCTAGACGAAGTGTTCCCGGCGAAGAACGGATACCTGGTGGTCGATGAAGCGCATTCAACTGGCATATATGGTCCCCAAGGCCGTGGTCGAGTTGCCATGTTGGGCTTGGAGGACCGAGTGCTGGCAAGACTGCATACATTTGGCAAGGCGTTGGCTGCTACTGGAGGTAGGTATCGGTCGTTCTCGACAGAAGTTCGCAGCTTATTCTTATGCAGCTGTGCTTTTGACCAACACTTTGGTTCGCGACTATCTCCTCAATTACGCACGGTCTCTCATCTACACCACGTCGTTGAGTTACGCGAATATCATCGCAGGAGACTGTTCATTCGACATGCTCACTAACGGAACTGCACAACACGTAAGTTTCCCATTTTCCAGTGTCCTTGAAACACCTTCTAAATCTCCTCTATGTAGTTATCCAAACGCCTCTTAGACTTATCAGCGTACTTCACGGATACTCTACGCCCTCTTCTCGAATCTCGGTGGATCCCACCCTCCCTCGTTTCCCTGCCTTCCCACTTGAGCCAAGTCTCGCACCAGGATCCTTCACCCATCATACCTATAATGACCCCCCACCCACGACCCCTCTCTGCGTATCTTCTCGCGCTCGGGATGAATGCTAGACCTATAACATGGCCGACCGTACCAAAAGGAAAAGATCGGGTCCGCGTCTGCTTACACGCCGGGAACACGAAGGAAGATATGGATCGCCTGATCGACGGTATTCTGGCATGGGCTGAGGAGACCGTGCAAGATGGGACGAAGGCGGTGCTTACCACGAGAACCCTGCGCTCAAATAGCTTGGTGCTTGCTGGCATTGTAGAAAGTAAACTATAAGCTGTTCGTCGTTCTGGGCTAGACAAAGACAAATAAGGAGAATCTTGGCAGAGCTAGATCTAGGACTTCTTTCTCCTCTCCACAATGTCGGGCTTTCAGAAATATGACCCACCGATTCTTCTTTGTCAATCGGAGCTCTTCTGGACTCGATTGCAACCTTTTCTCCTGTCCCGCGGCTACCGGCTCCGGCGCAGATATCAACCCAACTGGAAACCGTCCAGGACGCCCAGTCATCCCATTCAGGAGCCCCATGAAGATGAACTACTTCCCGTATGTCCTTCGTCTTCTAGGATGGTAACTTCATCCTTACTGTACCTGAGATCTGGCCTTCTGTCCTTGATGCCGTGTCCATACGGGACGGGAAGAAGGTTGTTCTGAAACGAGTCAGGACAAACACAAACGAAATCACCCTTGGTCTATTTTTCTCTACTGAGACAATTAGGCGCGATCCACGGAATTGTATCTGTCCTATCCTCGATGTTATCCCTGTCCCTGCGGACGATGACTGGGCGATACTGGTGATGCCCAGTCTGTATCCTTTCGACGCCCTTCCGTTTCGAAGAGTTGGAGAATTTGCCGAGGCGATATTGCAGTTTCTGCAGGTATACCTTGCTGCACTCTCATTTCCCAAAGCTGACGTCCACCTCTCCAGGGAATGGAGCTCATGCATGAGAACCTCGTCGCGCACCGGTAAGTTATAAAGGCGGAACCCTTGTCGCACCTATTTATCCTTGCTTAGCGATATGTGCTATTTCAATCTCATGATGGACGCTTCGCGGGTGATACCCAAAGGGTTCCATTTCGGTGAATTATACAGCCACGACGGATTATACGGCAAGAAGTTTAGATGGTGTCAGCGCTGGAAAGTGCGTCCCGTGACATACTACATTATCGATTTCGACATATCGGAGCGGTTCACGACGAGCCCTGCACTTATGTTGGGACGCTGTGGACAGGACAAGACAGTGCCCGAGTTTTCCGAAAGGGTTCCTTTCGATGCCTTCAAACTCGATATCTACCAACTGGGAAATGTTATCTTGAGAATGGTCAATGTGAGCCATACTCTACTCCGGTGATACTCCAGAGCATCATCTGACGATTAGCAGAAGTACCAAGGACTTGGAGTGTTCCAGAATCTGGGGAAGCAAATGACGAGGCCAAACCCTCAGGAGCGACCAACCGCATCGGAGGCGCTCCGCATGTGCCAGGATCTTGTTGCTAGCCTTGGTTGGTGGGACAAGAGAAGGCGCGTCTGGGGCACGGGGGATTTTCAGCTATACTCCTTCGAAAAATTCCTTGTCAGATTCTGTGGGTGGAATGCAGTAATGTGAAAGCAGCGAGCACATTGAATCATAATCATCCCGAAGTGCTGATGGGACTGCAATAATTACTTGCCACATGGACGTAACCGATTAAGAAGGTGGGCAAAGCGGACGTTAAAGTCTGCATGATCCCAAGTTCTTTTGAACACGAAAATGAGGCCTTGTGTTTTTCTATCTTGCCTCCTTCGAAATGTCAGCATAAAAAAAAAGAAGAAAAAAAAAGAAGGCAGATCGCATTTATTGTGCCTTGTCACGGCATAATGTCCGCTAGAAATGGGGATCATCATCGAAGGAGAGTGAGTACATTCGAAGCTAGTACCACGCCGCAAAAACATGGCTGCATGGGGCCGCACGAGACTTATTCCATGGAATCAGGAGTGGATAAGCGCTCAGAAGACAGGCATCTTATGCCCGTTAGGACCAGGATCAACGGATGTCGTGATCCGGGCAACACTGCACAAATAGGGGTTGTTTCTTTTTCTACCTGTGACACCCACAATGTTGAACATCCAAAGATATAATTCACCGCCTCGTCTTTCTCAGTCTGAGCTCTTCTGGGCTCGGTTGCAACCTTTCCCCTTGTCCCGCGGTTATCAACTCCGGCAAAGATATCAGCCCAACTGGCAACCATCCAGGACGTCCAGCCATCCCTTCCAGGGGGCCCATGAAGATGAACTACTTCCTGTATGTCCTTTGTCTTCTAGGGTATTGACTTTACACTTATCGTACCTGAGCTCTGGAACTCTGTTCTTGATGGCGTGTCCGTACGGGACAGGAAGAAGGTCGTTCTGAAACGAGTCAGGACGAACACAAACGAGATCACTCTTGGTCTGTTTTTCTCTACTGAGACAATTAGACGCGATCCACGGAATTGTATCTGCCCGGTCCTTGACGTTATCCCTATCCCTGCGGACGATGACTGGGCGATACTGGTGATGCCTTGTCTGTATCCTTTCGACGCCCTTCCGTTTCGACGAGTTGGAGAATTTGCTGAGGCGATATTACAGTTTCTTCAGGTATGCATACCTTACCTCATTATCGTTTTCCAGAACCTCATGCTCGTTCAGGGATTAGAGCTCATGCACGAGAACCTCGTTGCTTACCGGTACGTTATGAAGGCGCGGCACCATTCTCCCCCTTTTGACCCTGTCTAGCGATATGTGCTATTTCAATCTCATGATGGATCCATCACGCGTCATCCCCAAAGGGTTCCATTACAGCAACTGGTTCAGCCACGATGGCTCGTTCGGAAAGACATTTCAGTGGCGGGACCGCTGGAAAGTGCGCCCTGTGAAATACTACGTTATCGATTTCGACATATCGGAACAATTTATGATGAAGCCCGCACTTATGTTGGGACGGTGCGGACAAGACAAGACAGTACCAGAGTTCTCGACCACGATCCCTTTCGATGCATTCAAGCTCGATATATACCAGCTGGGAAACGTTATCTTGAGGGTCATCCAGGTGAGCTGCCTTCCTAGGAGACAACTGAGGGCCTTCTTTGACGAAAGCATAGAAATACGAAGGTCTCGAAATGTTCCGGGATTTAGGGAGGCAAATGACGAGGGCAAATCCCCATGAGCGACCAACCGCTTCGGAAGCCCTCCGTATCTGCCAGGGCGTTGTCAGTAGCTTAGGCTGGTCGGAGATGAGACGGCGCGTCTGGAGCCTAGGGGATTACCAGTTGCACCCTCTCGAAAAATTTCTGGTCAGATTCTGTGGGTGGAATATAACAGCGCGATTCAGGCAGGACGCAGCTCCAAGGTACAATATATATATGTATATTCGCAATAAATTGAGACGAAGTTTCGTATTACACGTTGCCTCACAGCCGCTTGCACAACCTCGTGCCGTAATCGATAACCTCCCAGTTCTCCGTCCCCGGTGTAGTCCGGGCGTAGAAGACACCATTCGGGTCCCATTTTTGCTTCAGCTCGTACAGTCTTGGATAGTTCGAGCCCCAGTACGCCTGTTGCCAATTCGGCTCTTCAAGGTCTCCCTGCGATGCAATAATCAACACCAACTCGGCGCACTAGGAAAGCGACCCACCTCGTTGACATACGCACCACCGTTCGGGCTAGCATCTCTGAGCGCCCTTCCAACAACGTTCGTGATGATATTCTGGGCCCTCGCCTTCTCCGATAGGGCGGCGTTCCCTGCAACTGCGTACGAGGTGATACTGAAGCTCGCTGCATTACGCCACACGGGATGGATAGCGTTGTCCACCACCGGCGCACCCGTCCCAGGGCCGACGATGTGCCCAACGATGAACGCGCCGTTGTTAGTCACCGTCTGGTACGCCTGGATGATGCGAGCCGCATTTGACGAGATGTCCTGTCGGCTGAAGATGCGACCGCCAGTGAGCGCACTGACGCCAGCGCCCTCGTCCTCGAACATGCCGATGTACAGGTCGAAGAACGTTGGGAACTCCCTTGTCTGTGTGGTGAAGGGGACGTTTTGCGACCGAAGCCTATCGAACATCGGCTGCACGACGGCGTTGATCTGCGAAGCGGTCATGTTCGGGCCGACCATCGGCTGGACGTGTAGACGCCCGTTGCTCAGTTCGTAGTAGACGAACATTCCGTTCTCGACCCAGCGGTTGGAGAGATCGTGCAGCGCAGCTACGCCCTGCCAGAAAACGGCACTGTTGGTGCTGCTGATGTCCAGACTGACGCCTGACGTTCGCACTTCCGGGAAAGTCTTCACGGTGACTGAAACGACGACGCCGAAGGTGCTCGGCCCACCGCCCTTGAGCGCCCAGAAGAGATCTGGGTTCTCGACTTCGTTCGCTGTCACGAATTCCCCGCTTGCAGTAACTACCTCGAATGAGAGTGCATTATCGGCGCCTGTGATAGAGGTGAAGATGTCAGCATCGACCAGTATATCACCGAGTAACGACCCCGAGCATGACGAAGACGTACCCATTCCGTAAAACGACGACATCGGGCCATGACCTCCTCCTTGAATGTAACCACCGGCCAATCCAACAGTCTTCGCGGGGGGTGAGCGTGACGTACGTGAAATGGCTAAGAAGCACCTACCGGACACTCTCCTCCAACAACGACAACAGGCGGACTTCTTGCATTTGCTAGGCGATAAAGCTCGCGAACCTGGATACCAGCGCCGACAGTGACCGCACCTCCGCGGTAGCTTCCGGGCCCAGCATACTGCGTGGTGAACGACACGCTCTTGAAACTGTGCGTGTTGATGATCAACGACCCGTAGCCTGTCGAGCGGCCCATGAAGTCATGGCCCGTGTTCCGGATGACGAGGCGCAGGTTTCGATCTCGTGCGAAGTCGACGCCTGCTTGGATATGTTCCCTCGTCTTAGCCATAATCACGTAGTCGCCGTAGTAGCCTCGCGTGCAGGTTGCGGAAGGGTTGAAGGAGTAGAGCGAGCAGGTCTCGTTCGTCCAGTAGGTCCACATGTTAGCGATTGGGTGGTCGGTCCTGCACCTGAGTCAGACGGGATCAAACCCACAGGATGAAGCTAGGGCGCTCACGTCCATTGCTGGTTGCTGAAACTAGACCGAACTTGCTGGCATCTGTTCGCGTCGTATGTCTGTATGCCCGCGACGGAGTTGAAGCAGGGAGCAGCAGGAGGCAATGCAACTTGAAGATTTCCTTGAACAGTTGTGTTGAGAGCCTGCCATGCACTTGTGTTGGGGAAGCAGGACTCTCCGGCGTAACATTTGCAGGCGTATGCTTGGGATTGTCGAATGACGAGCGTCGCTGAAGCGGCAGAAGCCCCCAACACGAGAAGACTAATAAATTGCCACATTTTTGAATGTGACGCGCGCGCTGGCAAGATTAAAGTGCAGCAGTAGACGAGCAGTCGAAGAGGAGTTCAAGCGACTCTTGTTTGGAATGGGAACCAGCCACTGTATTATAGTGTTTCCTCCTCCTGCGTACTATACCAGATTCGAGAGCGAGGCGGCGTCAGTCGATTCGATGGGCGTTCTTCCGCATCCACCGAGAAACAATTGATATGGAATAACCGCGCAACATTTTCCGGGGTTATACAAGGGTATTCGAGGTTTGAATGAGCGCCAAGAAGCGCCAAGCACAGTGTTGTTGAAGCCCGCTTCAGTCCAGCCAGCATGTCCGTGGTCTTATGATGAGGGGCGTCGAGTCTCTGGTCAACTTCTCGACGGCCTTATATTCAATCGCGTGGCTGAGTTCGAAACTTTCCATCAGCCGACGGCTTCTTAACTCCTGTTTGCGGAGTCATCAGCAGAGGTTCATTCACAATGGAGAGTGCCTTTTATCCGAGAAAAACAAGCAGACATCTTCGAGGATCGGAAGTACGAACGGCAAGCCTTTCATATGCTCACAGGCCTAAACAGCGCCTGGTTTGAGGCCGGAAATTCGCCAGAGTGGGGGCTAAAGGATTTAAGAAAGGCGGTAGCTTGTTTCTCCTCTCACAGTTCTTTTTGAATGCCTGATTCTGTATTATGTTGATCATGACGTCTTGTGGTCACGTCGAATGGGAATAGTTTGAACGAGGGGGATTGTTAAGAGCATATACTCGCAGGACGCACGCAACGAGGTAGTATTCGCTTATTTCTTCACATAAGGAATGAAATTTGAAAACGAGTGATTTTCTGCCTCGCAGTTCACATTATTCGAAGCAACAAAATGGTGCCCAGTGAACAAATCAAGTAACAATTACTTTATATATCTCAGCTCACCCCTATCTCTATTTTTGGATTCACCCACAGCGGCAATGGGACAGATACTGTCGTACATAGATCATTAACGGTAAAATCCGTTAATAAGATAGGCTTTTACACCTCTATACCGATTTTAGTGGTCGTTATTCGGAAGGTGGGTGAATAGCATTGTTCATGACATCTGGATTGGAATATAGGACCGCACGAGAAATTCAAGTTCGGAGTAGGCCCGTCGAATGTCTCTAGAACAGAATGTCCTTTTACGCAAGTGCAATTAGAAACGTCCAACTGTAGGTTAGGAGTCGGATGGGACTCGGCGGGCGAGCAATGATGCATATGATGAGCGACACTGAGCGACAGTTTCGGAGCATCTACATGAAATGATACTCACTAGTCGCGGGATATCCTTGACGTCTCTGATTCTTAGCCAGGCACTGTGAATTGAACAGTCAAAGTAATGGCACTTGGACTCGGAGCCTTGCAACCAACTTCCAACAGACGGGTATCGGGCCGCATAGGCCGGTAATTGGTTCTATTTGGACTCGAAGCCACAGCCTCGTCCTGCGTCACGGTCCCACTGTATCTTATACCCCAAGAGCAGGCTCTTCCATTTCCAACCAGCACTTAGAATCCCGGGCGCGCACGTACGATAAAAATTACGACATATGACGCCCCCACCACCGCTCAAATTCGGCCAACGTGATCGAGGAAACGACTCATTCTTCTCATTATTCCGGCGTAAGGACAAATC